GGACCGATTTTTTATCCCAACAGGCTAAAACTGTACATGTTTGTAAAAAGAGCTTATTTTTAGTACATATATTACTGTGAGATACAAAAATATTCTCGGCATTTTTATTAGCTTTAGATTGTGAGTCATTTAAAACAGTTTCACTTTTCACTTGCTTTTCATATCCTCTCATCATAGAATTAGCAAGGTTGTTCTTTCTACAAACTGACTCATGATGAAATTTGCTTAAACAATTTTTACATGATAATTTTGCCTTGTATTCTCGAGACGTGATATTTTTTAAAACAACAGCAGCACTTACCTTCAGTCTTTAGCTTATTTTTTGTTCTACATCAAATTTTTTGCAACTTATGGATCGTGATGACTGTCACAGAATAAACAAACATTTTTTATTTGTGTATTTAACGCTGAAAGCGATTGATATATTTTTAGGCTTTAAATAGTTTTTTTGATAAGTTTGACCACTTTGATAATTTTGGGAAAAGGATCGTTTTTGTAACTTTTGTGGGGACTCATTACAGTTTCAAAAATTTCCCTAGATTCCAATTCATTCCTCAAAAACTTAATAATTTCTGAAACCTCACAATTTACTTCCCTGTTTTGTTTTCGGTGAAAATGTAACACCAAATCTTGCGGTAGCAACAACAATAGTATTGGATTTCAATAAATGCCCATATGAACCCTCAGTTACATTTAATGAATGTAAATTTCTTATATTAACTTAACCAAGCAGAGCCTGACCACCACAGAGAACTTGTCAGGATCCTTCTAGCGAATTCTCCTGTAGTAGTAAGGTCCCCAGGATTGTCAGAGCCATTGCAATGGTTCATCGTATAATTTACGCAAACCCTTAACATTAGAGGGACTTCTTACAGGTTCTAAGCTTAATAATTTAGTCATGTAAGAATTTATAATATTATCAGTTTTACCATATCTTTGTTTTGAAAGTTCAAGATATAAGTCATATTTTTTCCTCATTTAATTCGAAGCCCGCAACAAAATTATATGCAGAACCAGAAAAAAGGGATTTCAAATACTGAAAATTTTCAGATTTTGTAAGTGAATTATTTGAGCTGATTGCACTATCAAAACATTTTAGAGAATTCCATAAACTTGCTAGAATCTCCAGAGAATTGCAAAATTTCTGACTTTAAAGCCCTGACGGTGTTTTCCGAAACACTAGATGTGTTAAGAACTGAAGAAGTTTGCTGAACTTTTTCTGCTGCTATATTTTTCCTTAATTTTGCTCTTTAGTTTAATCTTAGCTGAGAATATTTTATAATTGCATTCTTCCGAACCTTTTAATTCACTTCTGAGGCTCGTCTATGAGTGCTTCCACCTCTAAATCATAGCCTTTCAAAATCTGCTCCTTCGTCTCTAATAGTTTCAGTAATTTTGATAATGAACTACTTGCGTCTTCGGCAGCTTCATCGAGCTTCTGTACTCGATTAACTAGTTTAGTTACACTAGCATGAACGTGACTTTTTTTTCCAATTATTTTGGAAAGCTTATCCATATTAACTCAGAATTTATAATTTCAAAAGATCTTACCTTCACAGTCCAATATGCAATGTTACGTATCCAAAAACGTACGTAAAGTATCCAAACTTCTCAGAATTATAATCCAGTGATGATGACTAATTACTTCTGATATTACACATTCCTGGGTGATTCACCAATTTTGCATCTAATGGTTCTGTGTGTGTAAAGGTGCATCAAAGAGGCTTTCATTAATAATAATAAAATGTATTTACAAGAATATGTAAGAAATTGAAATAGCTAAAGATACATTATTAAGCATCTCTGCCTTCCATGTCCTACACCTTTAGAAACCAGCCTGCCACTGACTTTTGGAACATACACGTATCCGTCTGCCACTGGCTACTGGAATGACACAGCTCCCTCTAGCCGAATAGCATGAGAAATACGTAACAGATGCAACACACCAAACAGCAGTGAAGCTCATTAAAAAAATGCAGGTTGTGAAACTTAGTATTTTTAGAGTTTTTAATTAACATCTCAGCTGATTAAACTCGTACAAAAATTAGATTAGCCAAAAGAGCTTCTCATAAGTTTTTGGAATCCTTGAGTACCTCTCTCGTAACTCAATTCCTTGCCATTCCAGAGGAGATAATGTTACAAACAAACAAATAGATGTGCACAGATTTTAGTAGTATAAACTTTTTTTTCCCCCCTTTGAAATTTATACATTGGGATATATAAGGAATCAATGAAGATAAAGGATATATCAGTTTCATGAAGAGTTCAAATTTGGTTGTTGAATTAAAGAGGATAAAATAAGTATTTAAATCTGCTGACTAGACAAGATGTGCTCATGGGACATGATTAATAAATTTGTCGTTTTATAAACATGTTTTAACAGGATTGTAATTTGCTTTTTAACACCTCTTAGTATTTTGTTTAAGGCTGAAAATCAATGGAGTATCATCTGAGAGTTGAGGGTTTTTTTTCCTTTTAGGGGGATGCATTTGTATTAAAATAATTTTTAAGAAAATCCGTATTCATTCAAATGAACACTTAAAATAAAAGTATGGCTGTTCTTGTTTGTATATGAATTGGTATTTTTTTTTTTTTAAATTTAAGAATGAAATATTTTAACATATGGATATTAATTTGACAAACTAAAATCAGATTGATAATCATTATGTTTTTATAACAACAGTGGTTTAATAGTAGTGTTAAAATTCTACAGCTAAAAAATGTTTGACTAATCTGAAAGTTCAATTATATGTCTTTCTGATTTTTTTGGGGGGGGGGTAGACCTTTAACCCTTTCCGGCATGCTTTTTAGATTTGGAATTTCGACCAAAAAAAGGGTAGGCAGTCTAATCAGGCTTAGAGAAATGTGCAGATAAATTTTGTGAAAATAGCACTTATCGTTTTAATTCTGTAGGTTTACTGATTAATAGAGCTTCGAAAAGAGTGCTGAAACGAGCATTGCTACTGGGAAGAGCAGTAAAAACACTAGATTCTGAATACCGTAGCAGATTTAGCATTACCCAGGATGTGCCACGGAGAAACCTGCTACTCTACACCACCCTAAAAAAGCCCTTCTTGGTTATATGATGACTGCATGCATATGAATGGAGGAAAAAAAAATAACATTGGTATATGGTATTTACATTTCATATATTTACACTTTCATCTATTTTTTTCATGGTGGTACTTTTCAAAGAAAGTGACCTACCTTTGAAAAAACATAACCCAATATTACTTGTTTTGCACATGTACCGGGATCCATATCAGATTCACTATCTGAAAGCACTTTGTACACTTTCAGTGATTCAGAAATGGTCGGCCCTCTCTAATTCATTGAAAATAATTAAAAATCCCTCCCGAAAAAAACTAATATTATACTCCAATTAAAAATTATAAACTATAAAATAAAATTAAATAAACGTCTACAACTCAAAACCATCAAATGTAGAGCTAACAAAACTTTTTTGAATGAAAGAGAAAAAACCAAACAGCTAACTGATAAAATTACCCTTAACCTTCAGAAAACCATCGCAACAATTTCTTAGTAACCTCCCCTAAAAAAAAAAAAAAAAAAAAAAAAAAAAAAAAAAAAAATCTTTTAGAGACAAAGCCCCTTTGGACTAATAAAATTTGAAAGGTTTCAGATTTTAAATTACATCCAAAGGGGTTTTTTTTAACGTTTTGTGTGTTATCTTTATTTATTTAATGTCATGTTCTTTGCACTTAAACCATAAAACTCAATTCAACAGCAATGTTGAAAAATAATTTTAAAATGAGCATATCTTTAGAATTTCCAGTACAGAGTCGGCTTTAGAGATACTTTTTTAGTAGAGTGTTGCTATTGCTCGCTTTTAAATCATTGAGCTTGTTAATAAAAAGATTCGTTAAAGTTTTACAAAATATGAAATCGATAATAAAACAAATTTCAAATTTGGGTTTTCAGATGCCCATATTCGCAGTAGGATTATGGCATTCAAAATTGGATGGCTCTAGGTACCATTGTTTTATCACGATGCTAGAAACATACGTACATTTATGCAGACTCTCCATTTAATTTGTTCAAATATAATAAATGGTGACAGTATTTGGTGTCAATGATTTGAAAAGTGATACGTCATTTATAGGGCTCTATTGCAAAATAGGGTTCTGGCGCAAAATCGCAAAACGAAAACAATAGTCCTTCAGGGACAAAGCCCCTTTGGACTAAAAAGGAAAAACAAGAAATGAAACACAAGAAAGAAAGAGAAAAACAAGAAATTAAACACAGATGTGGACCCTCCTTTCTATTGTCAATGAACTGACCAGAGAGCTGCAGAGAAACAAAGATACAGTTTTTGGTCTAGTCCTAGTCTGTCAGTGAGCCCACTGTGGGCACACCTGATGTTTACCATTCGATTTTAGGCAAGATTTCAAGGTAAAAATTTTAAACTAATATAGAATAAGGAGATTAGCATTCAGCCAAGAAAATAACGTAGAAATTTCTTTTCAAACAATTCTTTTTATATCCTAAAAAAAATCTGGAAGATTTCTTTGAAAAATGATGGTCTTTAAAAGCTAAAGATGGCTAAAATATATTGACTGGTTTGTGTTGTGCTGTTATCTAGTATAAATAAAGAAGGTTCAGAGTAACCAATGGTAACCTATAAATCTTTTTTCATTCAGTTTTTCTGTGCGTATAGAAGGGAATTTTTAGGTGTGCCTAGACCGGACAGGGTTAAAGATTTATAAATGGGGCTTCATAAAAGCTTGTAATTTATGTTGCTATATAATTTCATTATTATGTCATCAATCATTTTATTTGTTGCAAACAGAAATAAAATGATTGATATGATTTTATAGTGTTATAATTTTTGTATTTATACAGTATTAGAAACACAATAACTTCAAAATATTTTTCATTACACACATGTTTTAACAAATAGGTACTGTATGTGTGTTCTTAAAAGTAAAAAACAAAAGATAAAAAATATTTTAAAATTTATTCCAATTTGTGAATTGTAGGTCGCTTGCAACCAGATTGTACTCTCGGACATATGCTGAAAACCATTTTTAGGAATGAAAACTTCGTAGATGCGGTAATGTTGAAATATTATAAAATTTATTCTATTGAATATGCATGTTACTAAATTTGCAGGAATGTATTTATAGACTAAATTTATGTAGCTTTTAGTATATGTGAAAATTAATTTTGTAAATGGATTTTTTAATTAATAATTGAATTAAATTAATGGAGTTATCCATTAAACTTTAAATTATAGTTGCTATTTTTACTGAATCCTCCCACCCACAGCACTAAAACTGCTTATGTAAAGTTCTCTGTCTTTTTTTTAAGAAACTGAATTTTAAAGTGCTAAGATTGAGTTTTAAGGAATAAAGTCAGTTTTAAGTACCTGTACACACACATGAAATTATTCATCCACAAAGGAGGCATTTGTGACTGATTATCTGTGCAGGATATGTCTTGTGTAAAGGTTTTAGTGCAGTTTTAATGATTTCTTTTTCATACAATTTAGATGGTTAAAACTTATTGTCGGAGGGATGCAGAAGAGCTCAACACTGCAGTTTGTCGTCTTCTGCTGGATATACTGCCTGGGTTGGAAAATGTCATTTTCCAAGAGGTAAATTTCATGCTAATATTTGCTCTTTAACATTAGGTTTTAGTCAGTAAATTTTGGATCCCTATACTGTAAGTGGTTCCCATGAAAAAAAGTCACCAAATACAATATGTGTGGTGTAAAGAACATTTTCAAGCATAGAAAAAGCAAAAACATTACATAAAAATGTCATGAAACGAAATTCTTGCACTCATCTTCTCACTACATAGTTCTTGATGTCCATATATGCAATTGGCAGGTCTGATGTTTTCATCACATTTCCTGATAGATTACCAAATCTCCCAGTTTTAAATTTTCAGCCTTTATTAAGGAAAATGTTTCTTAACAATAGATAAAACTGAATTCCTGAAACTTTGACAAACCCATTTTCCACTCGAGTTTTCAGAGCAATTTTTTGTGTTAAATTTTATTTTATTTGAATTATTTTTATCTACTGTAGAAATTTATAGAACTTTTTAGAATGATTTAATCAATGTTTAATTAGCTAATATTTGTATTTATGTACATTATTGTATTATGATTATATAGTACATTACCAAGTTTATTCACAAAACAGAATGTACATCAATTTTATTTTTATTATCTTTTATAAATGAAAGCTTTTCTTTACCTCTCAGGACTTTTTGAGTGTAAAAGCTTAAGAAAATTATGAAATAAAATTAGCCAAAGAACATAAAATATAGACTAGGTAATTAAATACTAATATATTTTGCATCAGAATCTATTTGGAAATGGCATAGCATGGCAACTTTAAAACCCTCTAAAAACTGATTTCGTGTGAAAATTGGTTTTTAATTTTTCTAGATTTTCTTTTGGTTGTTTCATATTTCAAGGTTGGCAGCTATGTCTTATGCCTGTGATTGATGTTAATATATATGGCTTCAAAAGGATTTCCCCTTTCTATGCAATGGTTAACTTGCATTCTGCTAGGATGACTCTAGGTAATACCTAGCCATACCTCGTTGCTTTTTCTTCAGCCATTTTGTAGAACTCAGTAATCTCTCTATGGTTTTGGTACTGTTGGTCTTTGGGATCAACAAAACTGAATTTATGATTCACAGTCAAATGGCTGTATCCAGTCAGTCCAAAAAAATGTCAGCAATTCATTGATAACTTTATGAAATAGTGGAAAAACATTTATTTCTCTATCTTTCCAGCTCGTGTTCATAAATAATAATAAAGACTATTTTATAAGAATCAAAAACAAATTTCTTAGTAACTACATACAATTTTAAATTTAGTGAAATGGCTGTTAATTCAATCCAAAAAATGTCACATTTTTTATTGCATATTTTTGTTAATTTTACATTTGTAAGCTGGAAAATGTTGTTAAAATGTTGTTAAAAGATATATTTCTAGTGTTTTAAGCATTTATAACAACTTTTTTACAGGACATAAAATAATAATGTTTTTGCCGGAAGTTGTCTTTTCTCTCTCATGTTCGCCTGACAGGGAAGTTACATTTACAGTTGTTCATATAAAAAAATACAATTACTACGCAATTATTATTGCTACATAATTATTTTCAATTACAAATACTACAAGTACATTTACTTACCCTGTTTTTTCAAAGATCTGATTTAGTGTGATACACCTTGAAACAGTTGGTTTGGTTGGTTTATTAGATTATGGCAAAGTACTCGAGGGCTATCTGCCTTAAGGGAGGGATGCCTTCGTGGAGGACTTTTAAGGGAAACTGGCTCGTATACACATTAAACATCACCTTGAAACAGAGCGAGAGGCATAGTCCAACATCACAGTCAGGACAAAAATACCTAGCCTGTTTTCTAATGCTTTTGCCGTTGTTATTTCTTTTCAGTGAACACACATAGCACTGTCTTGCAGATTGTAGTTTTTTGTCTGTAGGTGGAATCACCTCAAAAAAATGTCTCTTTGTCAATCTTAGTGGAATTGGTAAACTTCCAGGTTGACATTTTCTTTTTTCTACTGTTGCATGTCTTTCAATTAGTCTGTCAATAATATCTAATCGAAATTGTAAATTTGTATCTTTACCTTTTATCTTGTATCTTTATTTTTTGTACAGCATATAAGCATTCCATAAACTGATGGCTAGAAGGTGAAAACATATTTTTTTTATGGTATTTCTTCACCCTTTTTTATCACAGACTAAGGATTTATGTTCTGGTCCATTTGATTTACTCCACCCATTGTGTTGTTGTACTCCATAATTACTCTTGGTTTTCGTTTTATATCATACTTGAACCATTTCTGGATTATGGGCTGTAGATATAAGATACACGGGTTTTTTGTCCACCCATTTCATAATACCTCTTGGGTAAGCGACCATTTGCACTTTTTGAAGTTTTTCTTTCAATAATGCTTTAGGAACTGCCTTTCTCTGAAGTTTGAATGTTTCATACATATTTATGCAGCAACTAATGAAGACATCTGCTATTTCAAGTGATGAAAGTTATCTGTTGTCAGATAGTATCCTGTATCTAAATGTGGTTGCATTAAAAGTGGTTGCACAACCTGCGAAATTTGCTTAAATATTTGTAACTGTCATCAAACACAATTCCTTTTCCTGTATAAATTAACATAGAGCATATATATCTAGTCTTTGATTCACAAAGCATGTATGTTTTTATTCCGAACCGTGATCGTTTCCAGTGGGATATATTGTTTCCAACTTAGTTTTTATTTGTATAACATAAGACTCATTTATCATCATCTCGTTCAGGGGTGACTTCTTGGAACCAAGTTTTTACATGCTTTAGTACGGCTCAGATTTTAACTAATTTCAGGCACTCATGAGAATTTATGTCAAATTTTTCATTATCTGAAAAATGTAAATAACTATCAATTAACTGGAAATGACGATGTGGCATTACTTTGCGAAAAAATGGTGTAGATGTAGAATGCTTCTTGCTCCAATAATATTCAACTACTTGTCGTTTTTTTAATACTTTGAAGAATAATCTATGCAAATAATACCTATATTTCATCTTTCGATGTTGATTCCCATTTTTTTCCTTCTAGAATGCCTACTAAATACACTATTTTGCATGCACTGCTCAGCATATCTATTTGTTTACAAAACAATCAGGTCTAGCAAATAATCATCCATGAAAGCTTCATAAAACTGAAGTTTACTGCTAGCTATATCAATATTCAAGTTAATTTTTGGATTTCCAATGAAAGCAAATCTAGGAAGTGGATTGGGTGAATTATTAGAATTAATTTTAAAAAATTGCCTTGCCTGTCTGAAACCCTCTGTACTACTGTCAGAGTCACTAGTGTTGAAATTATCTAGAAAACTTCCACTACTTCCCGACAGATTTGCAGATATTTTGGATTCTGATTTGCAAGAAATTAGCTTCATATGTTCTGAATTATCCATTATTTTATGATAAAGATAGTTTTCACTACTTGTATATAAATGAAGTTATCAAATAATGTGTAAAATACATACTGAAAGCTAAACATCTGAAAATAAAAGCTTACAGAATAATGCAAAACTTAGGAAAAAGCCCGCGCTTTTAGACCAAATAGAATAGACTTCGCAAATTAACATTTTGTGGACAACTACTGCCATCTGTACGACTAATTTGACATTAAAAAAAAATATGGCCAAAACAGTGAAAGCAACAAAGAAATCGGATTGCCCGCACGGTATATGGGCAAATCATTAAAGGCACGAAACGTGCAAAACAAGCAAGGGATTAAATATAAAATCTATAAACTGCATCTACTTAAACATATATGTGATTCTTAGTTATCAGGTATGTACTTGAAAGTACGGCAGTAAAGGGCAATTTTACCGTAGGCTGAAACCAGGGGTGCAAATAATCAAAGTGTAATGCTAGTTTTTTATAATTTTACCTTTGACCCTATTCATTTTTTAGGTTGCTCTTTTAAATGCTGCAGTTAAAAAACAAAACAAAAAAAAAAATAGTTCTTATGTAATTATTCTAGTTAATAGATGTGCCGTGGCGTATTTTTAACTGCATCTTTGAATGAAATGATCTTGGAAATTCAAAATATCCTAGTAAATTTATTGTTTGTTATCAAAATATATTTAAAATTAATTTAGCATTTAATTATATTTTTAGTTTGTAGTAGAATTTGTATTGATATAAGTCAGCAAACAAAAATTACATGAATCTATTTCTATGTATTTTTTAAATCTCAGGCCATATTGACCGGTGTTATGCATTAGTGTAAAAATGTATATTTTATATCTGGTTAATATTTTTTAAATATAAATGTGCATAGTGCTTTGATTTTTTTTTTTTTAATATATTCAGGATGGATTTGTTCCAAAGCTGTTTCATTGGGCAGAGAAAGCTCGTAATCCCTTGCAGTCATATGCAACAGGACTTTTAGGTGCTGCAATGGATGTCCCTGAAATAGCTGCAAATTATCGAGACAGAAATGCTTACTTTGTAAGTAGTAATAACTATGTAACTGTTTTATTTTCAAAATGAACTTTTTAATGCTTTAAAGGAAATTTTCCTGAGTACTACTGTTTTCAATTTTGTGTTAAACTGTGTCTGAAATGAATGCAATTGTGTTGCTAGTCAGTAATGAACGAGATCCTGTCTTTGATGCTATAGAAATGACTTACTGAATACAGTGTTAATTAAATCATTTGTAAAGTTACTTTATCTAGATTATTTCTGTTGCAAACTGAATAATTGTAATTTTCCATTTTATAGTCAGTAAATAGAAAGATATGTTTTTCCAAAATCTTATATTATTATTATTTTTTTAATATAGACTTATTTAGTTATTTCTGTGTAGTTGATATTATAAAAGATATCAAATGTAAGTATTAATTTTATTTTACTGGCGAAGTAAAAAAAAAAAAAAAAAAAAAAAAAAAAAAAAAATATTAGTCAATCTTTCTGAAATAAAAAGGAATGCATATAATGTATTTTAAATGGAAGCAATTTAAAATAGCTTGCCGTTTCTGTTAAATGAGTCATAAGGAGTATAATTCATTTAAAATTTGCTGAAATAAAAGGCAAACAAGACAACTCTGTTAAATTATGGTGATGATAATAAAGAAAAAAATCCATATTTTCATAAGACTAATTGATCACAAAATTGAATAATGGAAAAATATTAAAAATTAAAATTGCAAAAATATTTTAGTTTAATATGTATATGCAAGAGTAATATTAAAAAATATTAGTTTATCATGAAAATGAATAATTGAAGGGATATGAATAATTAGAATTGATTTCAAAAATGTTATTTTTATTTTATTCAGTCATAGTATACATTAAGTCAAACTTCTCAATATCAGTGTCGTATTAAGAATCTTCTAGTAATTGTCAGAAATCTGCTTCTACTACTAATCTGACCGAGTGATATGCTCCAGTCAAGATTCTCATTTCAAAATCCCGGTTGCAATTACAAATCATGGACATATCATAACCCTAAAGGTCTGTCTACATGTAGCGATTTTCTCGGCCGACTTTGCCTTATGACAATATCTGAGCTAGCTTGCCTGCCCACATGGAACGATTTTTTCGGTATTTCAGGAATTCACTCAACCAATCACTGTAAAAGGAAGAATTCCTGCCCTCTACAGGATCACACTGTCTACAATTGTATAAACAGAGCTTACGGTGTTATCAAATAGTCAAAATAATAGATGAAGATTTCCCTTTAATTGCTGCTTTAGCAACATCTGCAATTTTGATCTTTGCTGTTGGCACAGAAGAAGAAAATGGGTTTGGACCAGAGATTAGGTCAAAAGAGGAAAAATTCATGGTATGCATAATACCGTGTTCCAGGAGTTGCATATTGAAATTCGGAATATTGCAGTGGAATTCAGAAGGTATTTATGGATGATGCTATGTGATTTTGATTTTTTGTTAGTTTGAAGCAAAATTGAAAAAATTGGTACAATTATGAGTTTCTTAATTTCGCCATCTAAGAGGCTGCATGCTACTCTGCACATTCTAGCTGGTGATAAGTTAATTTTTATATTATTAGAAATTAACTAATTAATTTTTATTAAAATTGGCATGTCTCACTCACTAAAACTAAAGTATAAGTGTAAACAATAGTTTTAATCAATATTATTTTCGTTTCGAGAAATTTTTAAGGAATTTTATAATAATTATTTCATTGCATCATTTTTAATGAATTTATGTTAATCTTTATTATTATGTTACAGGATGTTTTTATTCGCATTATTACTATTAAATAACTAATGCAGTCTGAAAACTATAATCATATGGTTATATCAGTTAATCACCTAATAAAATTTAACAATATTTTATTAAATTGCACTGTTATTTATTTACATCTATTAACACAAAACTGGGGTTTTCTGCAAATTTTCACTTTCAACAAAATAATATACATTCATAAAATATTTTTCACCATAAATAGAAAATATCTGAATCTGTAAAGTAACATGGAAAATAAAACTTATCAAAATAAGGGAATCCCTTCATTTTTCATTTTTAAAATTGACATTACTCGCAGTTGAAAAATTTGTGTTTCACTCGTTCAAAAGGAAGTAGGAATAATAATGAATTATTTATTTTGATCTGGGTAATTTTGTTTGCTTTGAAAGCAGAAAACGCAAGGTCAGTGTGTGTGGTGAAAACTTTTCCTTTCTTTCTCCAAAGGTAGTGATAATGCGTGAAAAGGGGGAAAAAACTTCTTTTTTGTTCTTTCCTTATTGCGGGTTATGACTCATTCCCCCGGTTCTCGGACATTCTCTTCTGGATTCTTTTCGGCAAGTAGGCGCGGCAGAAAAAAAAGAAAGGGAGAGACTTCGTTCGACCAGATGTGCGATCACGTGACTCTGGGTTCAAAGGTCGGCGTGGCGCCCCAATAAGTAGAGAAGGGGGATTTTTCGCCGTATTAGCTATTGTCATTGATCGCTTCTCAACTTTTTTTCTCCGCTGTGTGAAATTTTCGTTTCATTTATTGATGCACGTGTAAATTTTTCGTTTTGTTTATTGAAATATTTTTTTATTTATGTACGCAAGAGAATTTCACTATGAAATTTCTCGATATAAATAGTGATATTATACAATTAGAAGAAGGTGTCCGGAATGCATTTAGGTGGAAATGGATTGAAGGGAGAGATGGTAATGGGGATACCATCGGCACATGGTGCAAGAAAATAAATGTTGCTGGACAAGCATATTGTGTTTTTTGTAACTCACTGCTGAAGTATGGTGGGGGAAGATTCAAGGCTTTCACAAATCATTCTAAAACTGTGAAGCACATAAAATTTTCAAAGTGCATTAGACATTCAATGACTTTAAGTAATTATGCTAATTAAAAAAAAACTGATGACTTACTGGAGACTGATGCTCGGCCATTGGATATAGTGACAAAAAAAGCATGCCAAGAGGTATTAATAACTTTGTTTATTGCCGAGAATTCTCTTTCTTTCAATGTAGCTTCCAATTTGATTGAACTCTGCAAACAGTTGAGCAGCGATCAGACGGCACTAAACTCGTTGGAAATGTCCAGGACTACTGCATGTTATAAGATGAAATATGGGCTCATAAAAACTATTAAGGAAAATATCATTAAAACTTTAAAGGAGACTCCATTTTCTCTAAATTTGGATGAAAGTACTAGCAATGCTCAAGAAAGTATACTGGCAATATTGGTGCAGTTTTATGACAACAAATGAAAATGAAGTTGTAGTTCATCATTTTGCATCTCTAAAGATGGAATCTTGCAATTCAGAAGCTGTTTTTAAAGCAGTTGTTAATACTATTGAAGATAATAATATTTCATGGGCAAACTTAATTAGTGTATTAATGGACTCATGTAACATCATGCGTGGAAAAAAAAAGGGTGTTGAAACCAGACTACGATCAAACAAAGCACCCCACTTATTAGATATTGATGGTGACACATGTCACACAGCTAATAACTGTGCAAAAAAATTTGCTTCGTGTTTTGATAGATACTTAGAAGATTTGTTTGATGACATCTATTTTGATATGAAAAGCTGCAGTAAAAGAGAAAATTTTTTCAAAATCTGTGAATCCCTTGCCATTAAAAAACTTAAGCCCTTGAAGAAACCAGACCATAGGTGGGTGTACATTTTATGTATTTTAGAAAGAATCAAAGATCTGTGGGATGCTCTTATTGCATTTTATTTTCACTACTTGGATAAAACTGATAAAGGGGATTATTTTCCTTATGTTGAAACTGTATACAATAAAAGAAATATTTCTGCAGCTCAGAAAAAAAATTGTTGAAGGGGTGTATTCTTGCTTGCATTCCCAACAACTACTAAATGGGTTATTTGTTATGCAAAACAAAACTTTATTGCATATGGCATTATATTCAGCAGTATTACCTGAGTTCAACACATATATTAAATTATTTGAAACAAAAAAACCAATGCTTTCCAAATGCAATGAATTCCAAATTTCTCTGATGAAAGCTTATACTAATACAGCACAGCACATGAAACAGAAATTACCCCTTAAAAATTCATATCTAATTAGTTTTACAGCATTAGATCCAGAGCTAAGAGGTAAAACCAGTACATATTAGCTTTTGAAAAATTATCATCTTTTATGTCCCATATTTTTAGTGATAATGAAAAGTCAAAAGTAAAGCTGAAATAAGAGTGATATTGATAAAAGAGTGATATTGATATCACCAAAGAAATGCTCTACACATCTGATGAAAGTGGAAATCAAGTCAAGTGTACAATTGATAAATATTGGTCTAAAGTTTTTAATTTAAAAGATGATTTCACAAATGATTATAAGTATCCTACATTGGCTAAATTGGTCAAAGCCTGCCTTAGCTGCTTCCATGGCCCATTAGTGGAAAGTGCATTCAACTTGATGGATACACTTGTCACTGAGTATAGAACCTTTCTTGAGATTGATTCCCTAGATGCAGTGCAGACTATTAAATATGATTTAATGGCTTCTAAAGAAACCTCATGTGAAAAATATGGCTAAAAAAATCCAATGACTGATCCAATTCACAAAGATCTCTTACTGAATATGAACAGAAGTTGGAAAACATATCAAGAGGACTTAAAAACATGTATTTCAGATGAGTCACCTATAAAAGTCTCTGAAAAACTTCTACATTAGCAGAAAAGCAAACTGCTTCTACCTCTGCATGTGCAGTTCTTGAGGAAATTTCTTCAACTGTAAATGAGGAAAATAAAAGTCAACCTTCCTGCAATTGTGAAGTTCACCACAAAAGAAAAACAAGCCCACAAACATCAGAAAATTAAAAAAAGCAGCAGAAATTAGATAATTCTTTTTTAAAGAATTAATTCAGGTAATTTAAAATATTTACATAAAATGTAATAGTTTATATGTTTGAAAATTTATGGTTATTAATTTTGCAAAAAAAGTAATTCATTGAACTTTTATAATTAGGTCATTCAATACTTCATAATTGTAATTTTTCATTTCTCTCCCCCCCTTCTCGAAACTCCAAAATGTCGGTAGTAAGTCCGTAAAAGTTTCAGGGGATTTTTTGGGGTCCCACAAACACCCATGGATTGCTCAAAGCAGTCTTATTGCCCAGAAACTCCAATTTTGTCTTATGCTAGTGAGCGGTGAACACTGGATCTGAAATTGTGGGAGAGAGCATGACTGATTTTTGGCGCATACACAGATCCTTAAAATTGTTGCTCTACGAGAAAGTCGGCCAGGAAAGTCATTACATGTAGATGCCATTATTTTCGTTTCTGTCTTCAGCACTGCGAATGCAACAAATAGATAATTGTTTCTGGCCTGTTTATTGAATGGATGAGAACTTGACACTTATTTTCAGCTATGATGGATCATCAAGTTAGATGGCCAATTGTTAGAACTTTTGGCTGTGTACACCTAGATTTATGAGGCAATTTAAAATTTGGCTTACACATTGGGGTCTTAATTTTGGGAGGGTTCTGGTCACAAAATTTTGCCTCTTGGCTTATGTATTTATTGACTTGGGTTCCTAAATACAGACTAGCTCTATTGTCAATACTTTTTGAGTCTATTTCTAATTTTTTAGATATTCAATTTTCATCCAAACCACATAGAACAACAGCAAGCAATAAAATAATTTAAAAAAATGTTCTTAATTATTGCATTATATTTTGTAATAATTGCATGAAATTTTTCATTTGCACTCATTTGATTTGATAATTAGCTCATTATGTTTGGCCAGAGATATATCTTCACTTGTTCATTGAAAATCAGATAATTTGAATTTTAGTATGACCTTCTAAAATGATGCCACTTCAAACATGATTAGTTGGTTCTGTTATTGAATTGTAAATAATATTGAATATATAAATTAGCCTTCCTTTTCCAGGTTCCGTTAATGTTGCGGAGACTGCAAGAACTCAGTGTTTCTTATCTTCGAAACTGTGATTCTACGATCAGGGAAAATGGTCCTGGCACTTCCAAACAGTTTGCCTTCTCACACTGTAATTCAAATGAAGCAAAATCCCCTAGTCCTTCAGAAGATCAACAGAAAAGCAGTTCACAATTCTGCGAAAAGGTATATTGAACTTTCTTCAGATTAGTATGGTCATTAATCTTTTAGGAATAAATATTTTTTCAGACTATTTCAGACAAAAAAATGAGCAAAAACAGATATTGCAAGTTTAATTTATTTGCAGTATGCAAGTGTATGGGAAACTGCTTTAAGCTTTTCTTCTTTAATTAGAATAATATTTTGTTATTTACACATTTTGCATTAATAATTTTCAGTAAGCCAAAACTGCTGCAAAACTACATGATTTAGTACCAGTAATGAAAAACTGTGACATCACAGCCAAGGTTGTTGGTGTCGAAATGTGGACTGTATTAGGCGATAATGCCTTTTAATAGTTTTATTAAAACTCAACAATAATATATGCGATACATTACTAAGAACCGAAATTCTCGACAAATGACACTGATGTGACTTGGTGTCTGCTGACGAACGAACTGACAATTTTCCCGCCTAGTTGGCGGGATTCAGTTTGAATTGTAAGATCGCCAAGTTTGCCGCAATTACAGTTAAAGGCAGCAACATTCTGCCCTCTGTTGAATGATTTTATTCAACAAATAATACAAGAAAATATCAATTTAGTTATAACAACAAATACTTACTTTAAAAAATACAAAACATTCTGTATTGGTTGTAAAACACAGCAATAAACATGTGTGATAATGACATTACAATCAACTTAATATACTAAGTATATGCTAAATAATACAAAAATATCAAGGTATTACACTATTTTTAAGTTCACAAGAATTCAGTTGTTTACATCAAAATAGCTAATTTTGTTACTGGTCGTTTCAACAGACCATTTGAAGTTTGAACAGTGACTACTCTTATATTGCCATCAGTTCCAGAGAAAACCCCTACAATACGACCAAGGGACCATTTATTAACGGCAAATGATCCTCCTTTATCAAAACGACAGAATTGATTTTAATATTGTTTTTGAAACTGCCTCTTGTTTCTTTGTTGGAGGTGATTTAAGTAGTCATTACTCCACCTTTTCCAAAAACCCTGGATAATTTTGGTAATTTTTTGCCAATGGCTTATTTTGTTTTCAGGCTTCTCTAGAAGTTCTGGTTCTTGAATCGCTGTAATAGGTCTAAAAATTAAAAAATGACCTGGAGTTAGAGTTTCAATACAATCGTCATCTGCCGGTAATGGAGTGATGGGCCTAGAATTTGATATACCTTCTTTTTGAAGAGTCACTTTCAGAAATTCTTCATACGTAAGCTTTGTTTCCCCTGTGATACGTTTAAGGTGATATTTAAATGATCTGACTCCTGCTTCCTAAAGTCCTCCAAAATTGGGAGCTCTGGGAGGCAAAAAGTTTCATTTTGCTTCTTCAGAAGCCAAGTAATTTCCTAAAGATTCATTTGGGTTTTTAACAAGATTATACAGTTTAGTCAATTCTCTACTAGCACCAACAAAATTCGTTGCATTGTCAGAAAATATAATCGAGCTTCTACCCCTACGAGAGAAGAATCTTTTTAATGCAGCAAGGAAGGCATCAGATGACAAATCTGATACTAATTCGAAATGTACTGCCTTAGTGACAAAACAAACAAAAATAGCAACATATATCTTTTGAAATTGTCCCTTTCGTTGATGTTTATACTTTATATAAAATGGGCGACAAAAATCGACCCTGTGCAATTAAAAGGTGCACTTATTCTCACCCGCTTCTGAGGAAGATGTCCCATTATTTGCTCAACTAGAATTGGTTTAGCCCTTCTACAAACTACACAATTGTGCGCAATTTGTTGTGCCAGTTTCCGACCTCTAAGAGGCCAAAACTTTTGTCTGACACAATTCAACAATGCTTGTGGACCTATATGCAGATATTTCTTATGGTAACATTCCATTACTAATTTAGTGAACTGATCATTAGCTGGTAGAATAACTGATTTTCATCAAAAAATGGATTCAATGATTTCAAACAGTTTTTATCTGTAACCTGAGATGTCTCCTTCAGGTTTTTAATATCCTCCAAAATAGTTCATTCTGAGTTACCTGAATCAGATACAACTCTGCCCCATTGACTTCCTCTACTGATAAAATTCCCCTTCTTTTTTCTTGGTTCTGACAGTTATAAATGAACCTGAAAATATAACTTGCAATATGCAATAATTTAGTATAGTTATTTGTAATATTTAGAACATTATAAAATAGATTATTAGTTAATGGTTCTACTAGAAAGTTTTGCAAATGAGTTGAATTAAAGTCAAGTTGAGAGTCATTATTCACTGAAGTACTTTAATTGGATATCTGCTTTAGTTCCTTGCGGTAAATTTCATCTAAATCTGACTGAGACACAGTTAGGGACAAATCAACTACTTCTGTTCTTAAGAATGATGGTCCATTACACCAAAGTTTAAGATATTGAATCTGATCTGGGCTAACACCTCTGAAAATCAAGTCAGCAGGGTTTCCTTCTGACTTCACATATCACCATTGAAACTCGTGTGTAAGTTGCTGAATTTTGGCAATTTGGTTAGCTACAAATGTCTTTAACACATGTGGAGAATTTCAAATCCATGCAAGAACTACAGATGAGTCACACCACATATATATCTTATCTAAATTCAATTTAAGTGCCTTTCTCACCTTATTCATTAACTGCGATAGTAACACTGCACCACAGAGTTCAAGTCTTGGGATAGAAACTGATTTTAACGGCGCAACTCTTTATTTACTGCACAAAAAAACTACTGAACTGGAACCTGATTGCAATATACATTTGACATAAATGCATGCTCCATAAGCTAATTCTGAAGCATCAGAAAATCCATGCAATTCAATTTTAACAGCGTTGCTGGACAAAATTTTTTTATTAATAATTACACTATTAATTTTAGCCATTGACGTGATGAAATTCTTCCATTCACGAGATTCTCTTTCGGGAAGCACATCATTCCAGCCAATTTGTAGAAGCCGGCTTCCGTATACAAATTTTGGCTTTCGTAATAACTGGTCCAATTAAACCGAGTGTATCAAATATTTGAGCAATAGCTGATAAAATATGTCTCTTAGTATAATAATCATGCAAATTTGTAGTTACATTGAATGTGAAAGCATCTGAATCTAGATTCCATAAAATACCTAACACCTTCGTTTCATTTTTCATTTCATTGGAAAATGAATAATCTTCAGCCTTAACATTAATCAGCAATTCCCTGTGATTAGCGAACCATTTATGAAGCTTCATGCCTCCTTGACTTAAGAAATTCACTAACTGATTTTGCAGTTCTTTAGTCTTTTCTAAATCTTCTGTTCCTGATAGAACATCATCCATATAAAAATCTTGAAGTGTGACCGAAACAGCTAAAGGGAATTCCTTTCCTTCATCTTCAGCTAACTGTTGTAGGACTCTAGTAGCAAGGAAAGGGGCACTGGTAGGGCCATAGGTAATGGTATTCAGCTGATATGTCTTGATTTCTTTTTGGGAATTTTTCTTCCAAAGAATTCGTTGAAATTTCCTCTGGTCTGCATCTATTAAAATTTGACGATACATTTTCTCTATATCAGCAACGAATGTGAAAGTATGTTTCCTGAACCTTATCATGATGGAAAACAAATCTTTCTGTACTATGGCACCATTCAGTAACTGCTCATTTAAAGATGTACCACTTGATGTCTTCGCAGAAGCATCAAATACCACTCTCAGTTTTGTCGAACTCTTGTCTGGACAATATATTTCATGATGCGGAATATAATATGATGGTTCGAAATTTACATCTTTGCGTATTTCTTCCATATGGCTTAAAGCTTCGTATTCCTTGAGAAAATCTTGATAGTAACTTTGGTTCCTTCAGCAGTTTGATTCATAACGAATTTAATCTCTTTAACACCGTATCTTTAGAGCTTCCTAGACATAAATGTCCTTCGCCCTTCATAGGCATCTGGACCACATACCTTCCATTTTCATCTCTAGAATGTGTGCTTAAGAAATGATTTTCGCATAATAATTCTTTCGAACTCCTCACAGGTTTATCTTCGTCTATCCTTTCAATTTCCCAAAAATTATTTATGCTTTGATTCAAATCGTCCAATTCTTGGATTAACCCACAATATGCTGAATCTTCTTGTTTCGTAATACTATCAATTTTTCCACTGATAATATAGCCAAATACTGAATTTTGAAGTATAAGACCAGAGTTTTTCAGCGCCATTTTTACACATTTTAATAAATCAAAAAAGATTTCACCACCTATTAGCGGATCAATCTTTCGAAGTCTGTAAAATTCAGGATCAGCAAGTTGAACCGAATTCAGATTTCCTAAGGATGTAATATCCAATTTATTGGTAGGTGCAATATTAGTTATTTTAGGCACTATTAAAAATTCTGAGTTTCTGTAATATTCTTCTTTATTAAGGATGGTGGCATTAAGTTTTTGTTTTATATTGAAGGTTCTATCATTTAAGGAAACAACCGAAACGTTAATTTTCTCGCGATCTAAACAAAGTCTGGTTGAACAGTCATGAAGTTACACATCGAACCGCTGTCAACAATTGCTCTGCAAAGACAAAGTTCACCATCTCTGTTCCTGATGTAAATTACAGCTGTCGCCAGCAAAACAGTTTCGAAATTCTTTCGGGCGTAGGAGGTGGTGAGTGAAGACATGTGAGAAGCTACTTCCGGTCGGGATGGGGGGGATCTGGAGCATGGGAATCCTTCTGAATTTCTTTTTGCGCTTCAACGGCAAATGTTTTTCGCTGAGAAAAATGCAACAGGCTATGATGGCGGGAATTGCTCAAACTGCGCGAACTGTTTGATTTGCATTCTGTCACCTTATGCGATGGTTTAAGGCAATTAATAGAAAGATAAATTTTTGTACAGTCTCAAAACGCTTGTTTACAGCTAAATTTTTAAATTCATCACACATATAAATTTCATGCGTCGATTTACATAATTTACAATTGTTGGTCGAAGTTCGTTTCAAATTAACTAAAAATCCCTTTGCCTTGATATTAGGAGTGAAAGACTTGGAATTTGAATTGGTAATTTTACTTGTGTTTTCAAGAACTTGACATCTTTTTTCAAGGAATGCGATAAAGTCTGCCCAGTTAGGAGGCTCAGTAGTCTTCAAACTCATTTCGAATAATTTACGAGTTTCCTTAGCTAATTTAGGGAGAATTAAATTTATCAGTATGAGATCCGAAAATGTATGCCTTTCAATGCTCCAATGCTTAAGAGATAAATATTTCGAGAAATATTATCCACTAATTTTCTGAGCTCGACCGATGATTCATGATTTATTTTTTCCATGTTTATAATGGATTTAATGTGTCTGTCAATAACTAAGTGCTTATTTTTAAAGTGATTTTCTAATGCTTTATGTAATGATTGAAAGGATTCGTCTTCTGTTTCAATCTGTTTTGCTACACCTCATAGAGATGATTTCAAATAATAAAGCTTTTCAACTTCTGATAAGTGAGAATTGTTAGAAATTATGCTATTAAATTGAATTTTAAAATTGTTCCAATCCTCATATTGGCCAGAAAATGTTGGCAAAGGTATATCCGGTAATTTAATTCTGCTCCCAGTATCTTTAACAGTTGAATAATTCTGACTTATACAAAGTCAGAATTATTGGTTGCTGTCTTAAAGAAGTTCTTAACAGTCTATGCGCTGTCGTTTTCAAAAGAATTATTCTTTCTTTATACTGTTCTGTTCTATTAATTTCATCTTCCAAATGATCAATCGCAATAACTTTTTCTATTTCGCTGTCTACTAAATATAAGGCTTGCTTTTTAGCATTAACTGAGCAAGTAGTTCTTCAATAACCTAACTGTTTGAATTTGAATTTTCAGTTTCGATTTGGAGTTTATCTAATACCTTCGTAATAATAGTTCTCAAAGAAGCCCTTTTTTTCTTTATTTTTTCTATTTCCACATTGAATAGTCAAATAAAACAATTTTTCAGACAGTTCGAAATTTAAAGCAGTATATAAATTAAACAAATGCAATGATTTGAATGCTTAAATTATACAGTTCTTAAGTGAAAACAGTATAATCAAAGTTCACTTACCCATTTTTCTCAGGAAAATGACGAGCTGATCACTATATAACGATATCCAGAGACAAAAAATTCTCAACAAAGTGAAAGTTCATCCATATCCAATGAGACAGGAAATTCTTAACGAAACTAAAGTTCTACACAAAATCTTCAAGAGCCAATTCCAAGCTCCGGCTCGAATGACCAAAAAATGTTTGTGTCGAAATGTGGACTGTATGAGGCGATAATGTCTTTTAGTAGTTTTATTAAAACTCAACAATAATATATGTGATGCATTACTTAGAACCGAAATTCTCAACAAATGACACCGATGCGACTTGGTGTCTGCCGACGAACGAACTGACAATTTTCCCGCCTAGTTGGTGGCATTCAGTTTGAATTGTAAGATCGCCAAGTTTGGCACAATTACAGTTAAAGGCAGCAACAGAGCATAATAATAGTTGTAGTATACCATAATGTAGTTGCTCCTCATTTAAAAAATGAAATAGGTTCAAGATGACCATTTACACCATGAATTTGTGTTGCAAAATGTTACTAAGTGTGCTACGTGTATTTTGTAGTGAAATCTAGGAGATAAGATCTATAAACACTATCAAGTAAACAATTAAAAATACTAAAAGAAATAATACATCTTAAATTTTATATGCAGTTCATTATAACTAAATAAATGAAAAAGAGAATTGTTTTACTGTGCAGTATATTTGGATGGTTATCTTTGAGGGTATGTGTGGATGGAGTGAGGATGAGGCTACTAGATCTTTATGCAAGTGGGGTTGAGTCAATGCCTGACTCATTCTGTGCAGGACTCATTGACAAGTAAAGGGAACATTGGGATGAAGGGGCTGTATGAAAAGTGGAAGGAGTTGGTATTTTAGATGAGCCCGCAACGCTAATTTTTGAAGTTCCTTTCTTAAGAAAGTTAAGCATTTAAACTTGTCTAAACAATTTTTTAAAATATATATATCTAAATATGATGATAGTATGTATGTGTTGTATTGTGTTGTACACAGCAGACTTTATTTTATACAACTCTCAGTATTTTGTTCTTGGAATTCCTTTTCTTCTCTGAATAAATTTTACTCTTAGAGAAAATAGATTGCCTTGTATCTGCGAAAGTTTTTCAAGGTGGGAGTGTATGTGATAGTTTAATGTATTTGAAAATAAATATTTTATTATTTTTACTGCAAAATGCAAAGTAATTGAATAGTTTGTACTATAAAATCTAGTGAAATGTGTGGTAGAACTCATTAACAGTATGTTATTTTGTTAATGATAATGTAAATTTAGTTTTTAAATAATTATTATTTCAGTTTTGTTTCCTGCTGTTTCTGAATAATAAATTAATTATCTATTTTGGTTGTTGTAACTAAATAAAGAACATTCTGTTCCTTAAAATTTTAATGAAAAGATTGGTGCAAATTTGGTAGAATGACTTTCCTGATTGACAGCAAAAGTTGTTTAAAACAGTAGTTGTGTTTGGTGTTAAATCATACTTCATAGAATTCCACTGATGTATGTTCCTTTGTCCAACTGTAAATAAAGTAAACAGCTGTAATAAAAGACATGATTATCTTCAAACCAGTTTCCATCTCACATCCTGATACTTTGCTTGCAATTTTTCACATTGCATTTTCATGAAATTTGGTCATTTAAGAAATACAACATCATAAAATATGAAATTTTGCATTTTCATTTGTTTAACAAAATGCCATATTTCTGAGGAAATACAACACTTTTCTTATCAGCTTGCAAACTCCGCAGTCCCATAATGATTTGTAATAGCAGAAAAAAATGTACTCTGTGCAAAAGAAAACCTGATCTGGAAAATAAAATGATTTTCAAAATGTGCATCTTCGTGTACTCAAATTCACACATGCTACATATATATGTAGATACATCTTTTGACTTGCACAAATACACTTTTTGACAGCATTGTGTGCTGCCTCGTAAATACCTGTTTGGTGGCATAATGCATTGTCTCATCAGTACTTTCATGCGACATCTGGTGAGGGTTTGAATGATTAGAAAGTACCAATTTTTCACTAGTTTTTATTTTTAAATGTGTGAATGTTTTTTATTTTTAAATGTGTGATTGTAAAAATTCCTTCTATTTTTTTCAGGCTAAAACTGTTAATCGAAATGGTGTAAATAAAAGAAGTCTTGCGCATGAAAGTGAAAAAGAGCAATACATACATTCATATATGATAGGTTGCTATCAAGTATACCCTCTAACTCCAGTAATGCAACAGAGGTATATTTTGCAGTATTTAACACCAATGGGAGAATATCAAGATGTAAGTATTAAAAATCTGAAAATTTAATGTAAATTTCTTTTATGATTTTTATATTTATTTCATGTATGTATTTGTTAAATGCTTATCAATTTAACCCTTTAAGTGATCACTCATAACAGGTCTCACCACTTAGTCAAGGACATACCAAATGCATGCCTCACTCCGTGGAATTACATATCTGATTCGAACTTTCATGTAGGACAAATCTTTTTGCCGTTATTTGAGAATTTTAAATTGGCAGATTTCTCTTTTCTCTAATTATAACATTTTCCTCTTATATCATCACTTAATATTATTTTTTTATAATGCATTTGATTCATATTTTACTTTATTGCAGTTAATACTCTCTATATATTTTGAGAATATTTTTCATTTCTGTTTAAATTTTGTTTCAATTTTTTGGAATTAAATAAATTTTAAAGTATACTATTCATATTAATATGGTAAAAAAACATACTGTGTATATTTTGTAAAATAAAAATTTACTATTACACAAATATTATATTTTTACATAAATATAAATTAGCCTTTTTAATTTTTATCATAACAATTTAAAATTCATGTTGGTTTTGGCAACTTTTAAGCCTAGAAATTTTGCATAATACTGCATTGAGTTCTTTGCGATAGACTCTATAGGACATTTACTGTACTCAGTACTTTACAATATACTTTACAAAATAGAAATTGTCGCACTTGAAGAATACATCTTAGCGGAAAAATACATCTTGAGATAATTGGTCAGATCCTTAATCTTCGAAATAAATAATTGCATCATCAGGAATACAAGAAGAATAAATAAAACTAGAAAAAAACTCACTTGGACACCATTAACAACCAACCAAAACTTCTAAAATATAGTTCAGGTTTATTTATTCCAGGAATTAGTAAATGGTTGCAATCTATTGAAAAATGTATGTTGTAATTTAAATATGTGAAGTCAGTTTGACTGTTTGCAGTAAAAGTTGGGAATATTTAAAAAATCTCGAGTCTTTAATTTGTCATGTCTTGTAGAAGCAAAATTGGGAAGTGCAAGATAGTCTTTTTCGTTCCCAATGAAGCACAAAATTGCAGTGTAATCCTAGTTCATCCATGGACATAAAATGGCAAAATAGTCTGAATAAGCTGAGGTTGTGTTGATCATTTAAATGGTTGACTGAGTAGCATTTTTTTTTTTTTTAATTAGCGATTTGGAAAAAAAGGTAGTGATTCAAAATATGTATTTGGAGAAAAATATTATTTAACCATAGCAAATTATTTACTTATGCACTTTAAACTGTAAGTATAAGAATTTAATACATATTATGTATATTTTTGATTTTTGTTACTTTACCTAATTTTTTTTATTTAATAGATTGTGTTTCGTTTTAAGCAATTGACAAATATTTATTAATTTCTGATTATCTGTAGTCCTTGGTTTCATTGTTAAATTACTTCTCGTAAGGATCTAATCTTTTTGTAGCAGTCGAAAACTTATACTTGACTGCCATATAAAGATTCTATAGAACGAATAATTATTGCAAATACTTTATTTGTTTAGCTATTTGAATTAATAAATCAAACTGTATTTATTGACTTTATGTAATTCATTAAGGATAGTGATATTAATTTATTAATTAATGTCTAAAACAGTTCTTCCTTTTTGGGATATGCATTTATTTGTAGTGCATTGTCAAGTGTAGTGCATTTATCAATATTTTGGCTGGAAATTTTAAAATTGCTGCCTAAGAAATTTTTGATTTGGGGATTTTGCCTATTTTGTGACAATTTCATAGCTGCCAAATCTTCCATTTTTACCAGGAAACTCTCAATTTTTCATGACATCTGCCAATTTTCCCCAGTAAGTTATTGAATCCCCAATCTTTTGTTACATCATCTGGTCTTTCCGTAGGTCATGGAATCCCCTGGTTTTTAATTGTTACCTTTGTCTAAGGTAAATGTTTAGTAATTTTCAGCTTAATTTTTGTTGAATTTTATTTGATCTGAATTGTCCTAATCTAATGTAGACAATTGTAGATTTTTTTTTTATAAAAATTCAACCAATGTTTAATCTATTAATATTAGTATTTAATTTTACATATTAATATTTAATTTTACATGAATATATGGTACATTACTATGTTTATCAACACAATGTACAGATGAATGATTAATTTTCTTTTCTTTTTATTTAAGTGTACTTTGATAAATAAAAGCTCTCTTCTTTACTTACGATTTTCTCAGCAGAAAAATGGGCAAAAATTACAAGATAAAATTAGCCAAAGAACAAAAACTTTAGAACTAATTAAATATGAATATATTATATGATAGAATAATATTTTAGATAGTTCTAGCATGATAATATGTTCTTTTAAAGTGAATTTAAATCGGTGGGGAATTCTTTTGAAATCGCATGCATAATGTGAAATCTCTTGGAAATTTGTCGTTTTCAGGAGAGGATCTTGAGATTTTTCATATTTCAGTGCTGGCAGCTATGCAAGAATTTTAAACAAGTATCTCAACATTATTATAATTTTGTAAAATAATGATAACAAATTAATTTTTTAAACAATTTCTTTCATTTTTGTGTTTTTTTAATACCTTAATTATGAAATTAAACAAGATAATAAATTTTGTAAAGTGAAGAATAAAATGACGATTTCCATATACAAACATTTATTTAAGCTATGAAGACGTTAAACAACAGAGTAGAAACATGTTATTACACAGCGCTTATGACTTCTCGCTTACATACAATACTCACCATTGACGTTGGCTAACTACCTAGAAAAGTATTACACAGCAGAGAACTTGCTTATCATGCACATGCGCTTATCATGCACATTCTCATTTTGGCAAAATTCTATGTCTAAGCAATAATGTAATTTCCCCAAGTCTTTCATTTTGAAAGCAAAAGCTAAACTATCGCGAATTCTTTCATACGTTTGCTTAGAATTGGTAAAAATGATAAGATCGTCTACATAAAGAATTATAATAGTTTTATTGGCTTCAACTGCAAATTAATCTTTATTTTTACAACTCCGTTTCATCAAATAACATCAATCCACGTTTTAAATCAAAAATAATCTTTGTTTCGTTTTTAGAAAATGTAAACAACTCTTTAAAACAATATCATTTATAATCTTTTGTTGCCATTCCAAGAACAACAAAAATTGAATAATCTTTTTGTTGCCATTCTCAAAACAACAAAAAACAAATAAAACAATATTAATCAGCAATTAAAGTTTCTGTATAAGTTCAAGCCACAACAGTTTCACTGTTAGATGTCTTTTTAATATACACAAGATTATCTGAATTAAGTGATTTAAATTTCATAGATTTTAATTTTTCATCCAACTTTTTGTACCACTGATATCGTGACTGTTTAAGTCCATATAATGATCTCTTTCAAAGACACACTTTATCTGAATTAGTTTCATCGGGAAAACCTTCAGGAATTTCCATGTAGATTTCTTCATCTAAATTTCCATTTACATAGGCCATTACAAAATCTAATTGGTAACCTTTGAGACTGTGCTCTACAGCATAGGCTAAAACTGTTCTTAAGGAACTTAATCTAGCAACAGGAGAAAAGTTTTCAGTGAAATCAAGACCAAGGATTTGAGCACATCCTTTAGTGACTAGCCTAACTTTGTATTTTTCGTTAGTGCCATCGTGATTATATTTTAATTTAAGAACCCATTTACTACCAATAATTTTCTTGTTTTCAGGTCTTTTTACTAATTCCCAAGCCTTTTCTTGAACAAGCTAGTTACATTTTGACAGCATGGCATTATGTCAATTTTCAGTTTATGGTCCATTTAATGCTTCTTGCACCTTAGGATTAATGCTTTCCTCAGCAACATTTTGAGTTTGTTCATTTTTATTTACAATTGTATAGTGATATTCCTTTTTAGGCCTTCTTGTCAAACCTGTTTTTATTTTCTTGGGTCGACCAGGCCACCTTTTAATCAGGATAGGAGGTATTGATTCGCTATCTAAATCACTTGCACTTTCCTTTTCAGATTCAGATTCAAGTGACGACTCGCTGCCGTCCAGAGGTGATGATTTATCACAACATGCCTTATTTATAATTTTTTTCTCTGGAGCGAAAGGCAGATATATTTCTTGCTATGAGTCATAACTACAGCAGTTTTCAAACTCGTTAATAAATTTTACGTCTCTGCTTATTATCACTTTACGTGCTCCAGGATCCCAAAGTCTATACGCTTTTGATTCATCAGAATAGTCAATAAAAATACATTCTTTAGATTGAATGTCAAATTTGCCTATTTCTATACTTTTATTTAGCGGAAATGCTTTTTGGCCAAAGGTTCTGAAGTGAGAGACAGCTGGTACCTCTGCCAAACATCACTTCGTAAGGTGTTTTAGTTTCGCTTTTTAAACCTCCCATTGGGCAGCAATTTTGAATGTAGGCAGCCATATTGACGGCTTGGGCCCAGAATTTCTGAGGCAGATTGGATTGCAATAACAAACATTGCGCCATTGAAACTAAAGTGTGATTTAATCTTTTGGTGACGCCATTCTGGGCTGGTGTGTAAGGAGTGCTCATTTTCGTGTTTTATTCCCGCATCATTAAGACATTTGTTAATTAGTCTTTCCCTAAATATTCTAGCCTGTTATCGGTTCGCATAATTCTGATTTTAGAGTTTAAGTTTATTTTCAAAAGATGCTTTAAAATTTCTGAAAGCTTCTTTAACCTCATCCTTAGATTTCAGGAAATAAACACTAACATATCGAGATTTATCATCGATAAATGTTGCAAAATAAAATAATCTGCCTATTGATTCGGTTCTCATGGGACCACACAAATCAGAATGAATTAGATTTAACAATTCAGTACTTCTATATTCAGATTCTTTGGGAAGGGGATTGCAGTTTGTTTACCCTGAATGCATACCTACCAAGTAGAAAGAGAGTCATTTTGAGAAAAAGAAAGACCTCTAACCATGTTATTTAATTGAAGTTTTTTAAGATTATTTTCATTTAAATGGCCAAATTTTATATACCACTGATCTATTTCTTTAGCAATTGATACAGATTCAAATATTGGCATGACAAAATAAAGATCATTTTTGCATTTAGCTAAATTTACTGTTTCGTTATTAGAATTAATTATTTGAGCACAGTTTTCTTTGAAAATTACTGAAAGATTATTTGCAGTTACTTTAGAAACTGAGATTAAGTTATTTTTCAAATCAGGTACACACAATACATTTTTTAGTTTTATATTTTCGGTTTTAGAACCTGTACGAACTTTAAATTTAACAGTTCCTTTTCCAATAGTTTTAACTATTTTATCAGCAGCTAATTTAATATAAAGTATCACCTACCTCGGTGAATTTCCTGGAACTGTTCCAGGAAATTCCTGAGGTAACATTAAACAGTTTCTTGCTGTTACAACATATGCGATGTTGCACCACTATCCAGAAAAAAATGTCTTTAGAATTACTATTTGTGCATGATACGGCTGTTTTGTTGTTCCAAGGAAGTATGATTTTCTGCAGACATTCACAGTTTCACTAAGGCGTTTACTGGTTTTAGTTTCTTTATTTTTCTTCCTACATTCCAATGCTCCTATGCCCATAGAATATGGCAGAAGTTGCATCTGTAGTTAACTGGATATTGTCTTCGGATTTGTAAGACGTGTCTGGTTTTGGTTTAGGAACCGGTCGTTGAGTTACTTCTGATCTTTTGAATAGAATGCATGTTGTGGTTCAGAAAACGATGAATCTTTATTTTTGCGAGAGCTAGCTTCTTCCAACAGTTTAATTTACAGCATTTCTGGAGGAGGCAGTTCATCACGAGATTCGATGGCATAAAGTTTTCATAAGAGGCCGGTATGCTATATAAAAGCAATATTGTAAGCAAATCATCCACAATGTTTATTTCTATTTCTTTCAGTTTGTCCGCAAGAATGAAAAATCATTTAGATGATTTTTTCATTCTTGTTTAGAATCAATTTTTCCTTCATTTGTTTAGAATCACTCATTTTTGTAAAAAGCATTTTTTTTAGAATTGTGGCCTTTGTAGCTGGTCCTTTCAATTCGTAAATATAATGCAATTTACTCCACAGTTCATGAGATGTTACACAATTCTTTACTTGTGTCAGTTCACTGGGTAAGGTGAATAGGATTATATCTGCTTGTGCTTTTTGGTCAGTAGTTTTCCATTTAGCAAATTCTTCATTACCAGGTTCTGGTTTTGGAATTTTCCCAGTTACATAGTCCCAGTGATCATTTTTAATAAGTATTGCTTCCACTTGCAACTTCCACGTGTTAAAGTTGTCCTTGTTTAGCTTTCCAGTTGAAACTGTATTTGTTGTCGTCATTTTCATTTCAGTCAATGCAGCTTGGCTTGCCGAAAGAATTTAACATTGGTGGTTGGGCTGCACAGTTAAGCACTGTGGGCCCATAACCAACTCACCATTGACGTTGGCTAACTACCTAGAAAAGTATTACACAGCAGAGAACTTGCTTATCCTGCGCATGCACTAGGGGAATCAATGGCCGTTGCCAACATAAAGCGTAATTCCCTAAAGTTGCATTTTAGCGAAAACAAAAAGTGTGTAAATATATTAAAACGGAGACTAAATAAAGTCTATTCTTTTGCACTTTTTATTATTCTTTTGCACTTTTTAGGGTATATTTCACATTCTAAAATTTCCAAAATTCTTGGAGATACATATACTTTTTTCTATTAGACATACTGTATCCTTTTTTTTTAAAAAAAAATATTTATAAGTCTCGTGATTTTTATTGTTACGGTTTTGACAGGTATGTAATGCTAGTCAGTTATGAAACATATCTGACTTTAACTTGTGTGTAAACAATTATTCTGCATCAAACGTGGTATTTAAAGCTAATAATGAAATTTTGTAACAACATGTGCATTGCAAGCCTCTGTATATATTTCTTTTTAGTTGTATTAAAGTTTTTTCATCCCAAACAGTAATATACTTTAAAAATTAGGCTAAAAGCAGTCTTAATTTGGCATTGATTTCAAGAGTGATCGGATGAAGGCGTCTTTTATTTGGGAGCAGAAAAATTTTTCTTTCTGCCCCCACATAAAACAGTCCACAGCATAATTCAAATAATCCATCTATCCCAGGCTAATCTACTTCAGACTAAGCTTGCTTTTTTTGCATAACTTTAATTTTAGATTGCCATGTTTCTCTTCCAGTTTAATAACGTACTTGATATTTTCCTGTTTATACATTTTTACGTTCAAAATGGAATGGAAATTTAAGGCCTAACTTTAATTGCCGAAACTTTAAAAACTGAATTTTTTTTTTCAGTAAAGGTTTAGTTTTGTATTAAGCTTTATTTTTATTTACTGGTAAAATGCTGTCGGAATCACTATGCCCTTAACCCTCACATGCTTTTTCATAATTCAAATTATCCATCAATTAGGCTGTGATCTGATTTTTTTTTAACAATTATCTTGATTTTATCTGTTTAAATAGTATATATCTGATTAAGTGTGAATAAATATTTTTGCATCTCAGAAAAGGAGAACCAGTTTCAGTCTGTCTCAAAGTGCAACACTTTCAGTCTGTCTCTCAAACATTCCACATAACATTCCACAGAGAGCATTCCACACAACATCATCGATCTAAAGCTGAATTCCATCCCATTTTAAATTTGAAATGAGCATGCTTCCCTTCCGTGTTCTATTATTTTGTTTTCAAGTATGAAATTTATCAAAAGAATGCTTTCTTCCCATATTGGTGGGAAAGATACGTGATTTTGTTTTAAATCTGTAATAATTTTTCTCTTTTCAGCTGATTGGGCACATTTTTGAAGCAAATGCACTCAATTTGATTGTTCGATACATCGATTTGCAGCAAAATCCTAATGTCCAGCTTGCCTTTGAAGCACTTAAAGTATGTTGCTCTTATATAATCACTTGTTTCTTTCTTTAAAGTTATTAAACTTTAATCTAAGCATTGAGGAAATAGTACTTTTAAAGACAAAAACATTATATATATAAGATAAAAATATGAAAATCTAAATTCTAACTTGCATATTTCCAATACTCTCAGAATTCTGTATTTTAATTTGTTGATTTCTCCTTTCCATTCTAAGAGTAGCAACTGTTTATAATTAATCTTTTTAAACAGCATCATTTCATAATTAATCTATTTGTTAAAAAGATTGTCAAAATGGTTATGTTTTACCTACAGGATGACTCTAAGGTTTTTATAAATTCTTTTATTACTACACTAAATATATACATATTTACATATAGTTCAGGAATGTCAGTCACATCATTCATATTCTCTAGACTCCGATTCTCAATCAGAATCGTGCACACTCTATTGGCAGCTTTTTTTACAGTGCCATCCATCGGCGGATTACACTCGGCTGTTCTGACTTGACAGTCCTGATTGCTGTGATACATATTTCTACATTAACTCAAATACACATTATTTTATCCTTTGAGGTACAGTATATAAAATAATTTAAATTCTGGTAAAATTTTGCATGAACTATAACTTATGGACCCTAACGACACAAAATTTGAGACTTGAAAAAGTTCTGGAGCAAAAACCTGAATTTTGAGAGCCGGTCTATATTTTATACCGGTGCCCCTTTAAGACATTTTTTTCCAGATAGCTGCCAATTGTTAATTTTTTTTTCATACTTTTGATGTGTGTCTGTAGAGATAGGTGCTTGAATATAGTTAATGTAAGTCTAAAGACAAAAACTTTTAAAATTTCGGCTGAAATTAAAAATTTTAAAAATAAAATTTATGTTTTTATGCACTTTGATGATGCAACCCAGCTGAACATACTTGATATAAATATGGGTGAAAAGCTTTTGAACTTGATTTAAATTCAATATTATTATTTTATAAAAAAAATTAGCAAATATAACACTGCATGCGTAAATCATATGCTGCAACTGAACTAGTATAAATATTAAAAAGAGATGTAACTCAGCTGAAAAATAAAAAAATTGAAAAATGAAACACTACGACTCAACAGAGAAAGTATGTTGCATTTTTCAGGTTATATTTTATGCTTTAGATAATATGTAAAAAAACCATGCTTCATGCTATGATACCAAGATTCCCCCACCCACACACACACACTTTCAGATTATTGAGGATCGTAAGGGTCCCTTTTTTATTTTTTGTAAATATAGGTTGTAATATATCTTTTTGTTCAGGAAGAAATGCTGTTAAACAATTTTATTATTTGATACACCTCAAAGCTCTTATTTCCATTTTCAACCTCTTTGGCTTCCTAGTGACTTTTTTCCAACTTTTCGATAAATTTTAGTTTGCATCTAAAACGGGTTTTAGAAATATTTTCCCTCCTTTCACCAACTGTGAAAATTTATTACGAAAACAACCTTTTTGTATTCTAAACCAGAGGGCAAATTTTTCTCTTGAGTTCCCTAGTCTTTCATCTGAAACTAACAAAGAATTAAAAAGAATTCCCCTAAAGAATAAAAGCATGCCTTCACATCAGTAGTTTTTATGATTACACCAAGAGCCTTAAGTGTATTTCCATTTCCCATATTTTTAGTGATCTTTCCCTTTGTGTGATCTTATCACACCACACAAAGGGAAGTAGGCGGGACTCCCGAATGACTAATTAGTTGTCAATCACCTCTTTTCATTTTTTCTGCATCCTAGGATTTTGGAAAATATGAACAAACGGGTGTCTTTTGGGGGGCTAACATGCCACATTTAACCCCTACAGTTTTGTAAAGTTTTGACCCTAGACGGCAATTTTGAAATCAATAAGTCTTTCTCTTAGGAAAGGGTAAGTGCTGAAATAAAAATTTTAGCTAAACAGAGAGGAATGAAACTCGAGTGGAGTAAACAAAGAATAAAAATAAATCAGTATACTTGTATTCAGTCTTAGCGCAGGGTCAGTAAACCCCCCATCCCTTCATAAACATAATATTAAATCCTAAACTTATAAATTAATCATAAAAAAATATTACATCGTAAACTGTTATAATACAGTACAAAGTCTGTAATCCGGACGTCTATTATCCGGAATGATCTATAATCTGGATCTCAAAGCCACAAACTTATTTTTTTGGTACGCTTTGCGCATGCGCATAATGCATTTACGCATGTGCGTAATACGTTTATGCATGCTGTTTTAATGTTATGCATGCATGTTTAATGTTTACGCATGCGTGTTTAGCACAAAAAACGAAGCAACTTAAACAATTTGTATTGAAAGAAATGTTTAATGAAGTAAACAAATAAATATTAAGCTTTTCTTTGCAAATTTTGATACCCTTTAGATAATAATTGCTCTTTATTTCATAAATTACGGTTTCATATTTTTAATTGTATAATTTCTGCATGCCATCTTACCAGATTTAAATTGATGATCTATAATCTGGAAAATTCCTTAATCGGGAATCGCTGAAGTCCCGACGAGTCCGAATTATGGACTTTGTACTATATAAAGAAATTTTGTGTCATGTCGCAGAGTAGAAAAGGAGAAGACTGGTGCTGCCATCTATTGCATAGTGCCCTCAGCGTGCGTGCTGGTATATATTTTATACCGGTTTTAAAATTGTATAAATAATCTTCTGTTAATTAACACTTCTGACTAAAGTGAAGTAAAGATTCAGCATGTGTGTGCCATGTATTTGCAGATTTTGAATTTTTTCTTCCCGTCTGATAGAATTTATCAATCTACAAACATGAAAGCTTGGAACGAGGTATATTAATTTCATAACTGCAAAATATTGAGCATTCATAGGGTGGTGCTGCTATTTAGAATCTAAAGGAAACACTAGAAACTTACGATTATAGCTTTTGGTGTGGAAAAATTATCATTTTTTAGGAGGTTAAAAAATTGACAAACAACTGGTATATTTTATGTACTGGTGACCTTCTCAAAGGGTTTACATATTACTGATACACTAAGAATACACATTGTATTAAAATTTGATATGGTAATATACTTACTTTAAATTTGAAAAAAAAAAAAAAAAAAAAAAAAAAAAAAACCGTTGCATAATAATATAAATTTTCTGTAAATTATTACTAAATACATGATATATATATCTGAAGTATCGCTGATTTATTATCTGTCCTAAAATGAAGTCCAAAAATGCACTTAACTCTTTCAACCTAATGTTCAAAAGTTCTCAAGTTCTGAGTCTTTGTCAGCAAGCATACATACATAAGCAGACAAAAAAAGGCAAGATATCACTTTAATCGCAGTGAAGTGTGCCTCCATTAGTCTTTGCGAACAGATCTTCATGGGTTCCATTGAGGAATCGAGCTTAATAACTTGTTAGTATCTTGGTTGTCGTTGTCGTCATCATAGCTGGGATCGCACCTCCACGCTTTCAGTTGGCTCACATGTGCAGTGGTGGTGAAGTAGCGACCTTGATTCTTTGCTTCTAGTTGTGTTATTCTGTAGGTATCACTAGGTAATACTTATGCTATCATAAATGGTCCTCGATATTTCGCTTGTGTTTTGGTAGGTTGACATGTAGCTTTAGGAACACATCTCATTACAATGATTTCTCCTTGTTCAAATATTAGTGTATGACATCTCTTTCTATTGAATCTCTCTTTCCTTTTCACTTGCTGTTCTTCAATTCTTCCTCCCGCTTGCTCTTGGATTTCTTGCGGATCAATCCACATGTCTGAATCTTCATCTGAGTACACCATAATCTCTTCCCAAGATTTTGCATGAATAATCATATCATCCATATAACACACCTTAGTGTTCAACAAGGGGGCCTAGGACATATGACATAGGTGCTGAAACTCAGCAGGAGCATTTACTAACCCAAATGTCATTCTTTCAAACTGTCCTGTTTCATCTGGAGTAATGAAGCCTGTTCCCTTAATGGTATTTGCAGATAACATGGTCTCCTAAACATTCTAAAAGATCATCTATTCGAGGCTGAGGGAACTTATCCTTTATTGTCTGATTATTAAGACACTGTCAATCAATTACCAGTCGATGTTCTCCTGTTTTTTTCCTTATTAGTAACACTGGACTAGTGTAAGAGGATCTAGTTTTGGAAATTATCCCATTATCTTTCCATTCCTTAACAATTTCTTTTTTCACATTACGTTCATCTCATATTCTTCTGATGATTTTATATCTGCAATATCCTGTTCCAAAAATTCAGATAGTCTGTTAATTACTTATGTTGTTAATCTCCTTATTGCATTTAATTTTCACTTTATCTAAGGCTTTCTTAGTATTCTCATCCATGATATTAACTAATAATATAATTTTATACTTCTAAATTCTGTACTTTGTTAGAATTATTAAAAGCATTTTAGTATAATTATTCTACAGTTCGCATGCATTCAAATTTTTGAAATCGAAACTTACCTTTTGTTCCGCACTCATGGCACACGAGTCATTCGTTGGACATTTTAATCTACAACACATCACACTTCTGAGATGTTTGAAAGCTTGCCAAGATGGTTATGTGTTACCTGCGGGATGGTTGTAGGGTTTTTATAAATTCTTTTATTACTACACTAAATATATACATATTTACATACAGTTCAGGAATGTCGGTCACATCATTCATATTCTCTAGACTCCGATTCTCGATTACAATCATGCGCACTCTATCATCACCTTTATTTTACAGTGCCATCTATCAGTGGATTACACATTTTTCATAATCTTCAAATATGATTTAAAAAATCTATGAGATATCAATGTAGTTCTTCAGGAACAGACATGATTTTTTCACAAAAGTATATGTCTCTGTGTGCATCAAAAATAGAAGAAACATTAACTGTCCTCAATGAATGTTACTATATTTATGCATAAGTATTTATACATCAACTTCTAAATCACTGGATTGATCAATTGAAATCCATTTGCAGAGAGTTTCTGTGAAAATAATAATTACACTTTATGCA